GTTGTGGATCTTAAAAAAAAAAAAAAATTGGTTGTGAACCTGAAAAAATAAATAAATAAATAAAAGAAAAAAGATTGAATGTATATTTAGTTTTGGTTGTGAATCTTAAAAAAAAAAAAAAAAATTTGTTGTAAACCTTAAAAAAAAATTAAATAAATAAAAGAAAAAAGATTGAATGTATATTTAGTTTTGGTTGTGAATCTTACAAAACAAAACAAAACATAAGGGGAAATTAGTGGGTACCCATCCCCAACCCATCCCCTATGGATATTTAAAGAATATCACTTACCCTACCCAATGGATAAGAAAAAAAAGGAGAAACCCATGTATTTGGGTTGGGTCTCCATGGATACTCACAGGATAGGTTATCTATTACCATCCCTACCCCTGAGGCACCACGATGAGTATGTCATCACCATCACGCATCCACGTGGCAGACTCTTGAGGCACCACGATGAGTTGAGATTGTATGCCTAGCCTAAGCGGGAGCATGCACATCACCAAGAATGAAACAAGGCCACATGGAGCTGGCTCACTTAGAGCTCTTCATGGCCCTTCATAACTCAAGAAATGTATTCTTTACCCACTCACCCAACTCCATGGCAACATAGCCGGACTCTTGGCTCACCTATGCTCAGCTCACCTATGTTTACTTAGCTACTGAGGTGAGCCCTTGGCTCACCCATGCATTCACCCTCTTGGCTGCCTAGGTCGGGAGCAGGACCTAGGCACTCCCGCTTGGGATCATTGGAGGATTGTGGATTGGAGGTTAAGACCTCGGGATCGTCAAGGTCGTGTAGCTATCTCCCTGCAGTGATAGCTCCCCCTTTGACCTGGTTTAGAGAAAGAGACGTTGACCTTACACTTACATCTGATGCACATATGATACGCCTCTCAAGATATCACACCTACCCCTGCAGTTCCTATGATGCAACCTCCCCGAGGACTTGAATCATAGGACACAGCTAGTAGGGCTGATATCACCCTCCTGTCGAGTTGAGGAGAACTTGCCACCTGTCTTGAGGTTGCTTGGGCTCCAATACTCCTGGAGTCTATATAACGGCATCATAAGTGTAGCCACAAACACACAGCAAGAGCAATAAGAATCACATAACATACATTAAGTGTTCAAGGTCTCTCATTGCCACCTCTGCCCTCTCTAAGCTTGCCTTGGTCTTCTACTCCTCCACCTCCGGTGATCTTAAGTCATTGAAGTGCCTAACATCTTCCCAGAGGTCAACGACCGATCGCCTCTAATCTCTATCACCCACACTAGCCAATCATGACCTAAACCTATAGGGGCAGGTTTGGGTCGTGACACCTTGATGGAATGACTTGGCCTAGAAAACCAAAAGCACGAATTTTTACTAATAAGGTGCCAATTTTCCAGGATTAATTCCTTTGCTTCCCAAACTGAGGCTAGATCAATTGGCCAAAATTGTTGCACTTCATTAGAGACTTGTCCCACATCGTTAAATGATTTCAAGTTGCATGTCTCCAAATAATTTAACATGGTTTTACAGTTGGCTCTTAGGTGGTCTATTGTGGACCAACTCTGTCTCATCTGTCCATCACCTCCATATGTGACTAGGCCATATGTGGGGAAATGTTAGAGACTTATTCCACATTGTCTCTTTAAGCCACACAAGTTTAGTTCATACATTCTGGTTTCGATTTTGGTTTTGGGTCAACAACTAAGAGGTCAAATGTTGTCAAGCCTATGTTTCAACTTTCAGCAGAGTAATCTGTGTGTGTGTGTGTGTGTTTTTTTCCAAGCCAATGATTGATATTGTGATATAATAGTTTAGTCATAAATTAATAAGCATAAAATCCATCAAGCTTGAAATTTGTAAAGCATTTTGCACTTCACAACCAGAAATTGCATCCTAAGACTAATCAACCGCGTTTTCTTATAAAAGAACACAAAAGTTTCACAAGGCTAATCCAAACTTAAATTTCCAATAAACATTCATTCAAATCCCAGAATCATTCAAAAACAGAGATATCAAACAGAGCAAAGCACTCACCTTGGAAGTCAACTCGAAATCACCATTCTTCCACAACCCACTTCTCACAAACCGATCACACACACAAATCTTCCTCAAAGTCGCCAATGCAAGACCGATTGCTAAATCAGCCACATCGTCCGTGAGAACATCAGGAGTGTTGGTAACCCTAATTCCTCTCTCCTTGCACTTTGCCAAATCGATCTTATCCAAACCCACACTGTAACTCGACACGATCTCCAAACTCGGAAGCGATTCGATCAACTTGGAATCGGCCCCAATCGCTGTGTCCCCGACCACCGCTCGTATGGAATTGCAATTCTCTCTCAGAAACTCGTCTTTCGATGAAGCCTCCCATAGTCTGAAGAGTTTGAATCGCTTGTCGAGCTCTTCTTCTAGGTACGACGACATTGCACAATTCATCAACACGCCTATGCCCTGCATTTTGATATGTAAAAATTTATTCAAAAAAGAATTTTCCCACACTTTCTGTTCATTCTCTTGCCCACCAAACTATACTATTTGCAGGGGAAAGGAATTCTACATTCTATGAATTTATTTATTTATTTTTTGCGAATAGCCAAATAAAAAAACTAAAATAAAATAATTAATAAAATCAAATGCCACATCCTATCAATTAATCAACCATTTTTTCTTTAAAGCCATTTATTCAACTACAACTAAAATAGCCAAATCATCTAAAAAACAACTTCTTTTTTTTCTCATAAAATAGTTAAAAAATTAATTAAAATAATTAAGTTTCCAAACTAGGCACAAATGTTATAACTCAATTATATGACCGTTATAACTAAAAGAGAAAAATAAGTTATAATAATGTGTCATAACTAATATGAGCATAAGTCATAACCAAACACCATAAGGTTGTGCTTGGTTTAAGAATTTGGAAAGGTATTTGGAAAGAGAATGGGAAAATAATAGTAAAATGTGAATAAAATCTATTTACATTTTATTTAATTTCACATACCTTTCCCTTTTTCCTTTCCAAATTTCCCCCAAATCCTTAAATCAAACACAACCTAAGGGTCATAAACCAATGGTGCATATGGTGCACATTGAGTTTTTTTCTTTCTTTTTTTTTTTTTCAAGGGATTAGGGCTCAAGCATGAGTCTTTTTAGTGTTTTAGGGTTTTTTTTTTTTTTTTTTTTGGCGGGGGGTTGTGGTTTTGGGGTGTTGGGTTAGTGGTTTTAGTGTTTTTAGCAGTTTTGGAGTGTTGTGGTTGGTGATTTTGGGGTCTTTTGGAAAGAAAAAAAAAAAGTTAACTTTTAACTTTTTATCTATTTTGGGTTATATTATCTCTCACATTTTTTACCCACAAAAAGATAAAATAGACTAAAAAGACCAAAAAAATCAGTTTTTTACCAACTTAGTGAATTTTGGGTGTTGGAGTTAGTGGTTTTAGTATTTTTAGTAGTTTTGGGGTGTTGGAGTTAACGATTTTAGTACTTTTAGTGGTTCTAGAGTTAGTGATTTTAGTGTTTTTAGCGGTTTTGGGATTATTGGTTTTAGTGGTTTTGGTGGTTTTAGAGTTAGTGGTGTTAGTGTTTTTGGTGTTTTGGATTTGGGGCATAGAGTTAATTATATTACCCATTATGTTCATGATATCACTTATTTTATTCTCAATTTTAGAACTATATTTATTATGAAGTCATTATAATACTGACTTTGCTCAATTAATATTAATTAATTAAGTTAATGATGTAATTAGGAGGAACAACTAAGTATACAACTTCTATAACTTGCATAGATATCTGGTGAAATACAAATAAAACAAAAAAAAAGATAAACGTATGTAGATGTAGTTTCAAAGAAGAGAAGAAAAGAAAGAAGAAAAGAGAATAGAAGAATAGGAAGGGGAAAAAAACATGAGGTAAGGGAGAGCTATAACACCCAAGGCAAGCACTTAAGATATTGGGTAACCTTCATTTTACCTCACTCTAATTTGGGTCATATGCGGTTTACTCTCGTAACATTTAAAATTCATATAAACCCCACGTGGTTTATGAATTAAAATGCACGCTAACTTCTATTAATATAATATGTAAATTGACCTTTATATCATTGCTTTCTTCTTTTTCTTTCTTTTGAATTAAACATGCAAATATATATATATATATATATATATATATAGGGAGAGGGAGAGCACCAAGGATCCTCTAGAGTGAAATTTTCCTAAAGTTTCCTAGAGTGCTACATTGTGTGGTTGAGATTTACTGACAAGTCACATCAGAAAAATTGATGTGACTTGCCAGTAAATGTCAACCACACAATGTAGTACTCTAGGAAACTTTAGGAAAAAATCACTCTAGAGGATCCTTGCTCGAGGGAGAGAGAGAGAGAGAGAGAGAGAGAGAATTTCTGTAAGAAACCCAAGCGGCATACACAACTTGGCATTTACCCATTCTCACCATTCATCAACAATAAATGCATATATAAATATATGTATATATAATCTATAAATGCATAATTAGTATATATATATACATGTATGCAATCGATGTTAGCATGCTCTTGCATCAATGAATTGTTGCTATAATCAACTTTGAATTTGTTTGTAAATCTGATAGTTAATCTAAGATCTTTGATTTGGTTCATTATATATATTTTATCAATTTCAAGCATTTCACAAAATATTCAATTGTAAGTTTTTTTTTAGTATGCATATGTATGTGTGTTTGTGTGTTTGTGCAAGTATATAGAATTTTTCATATTTTTTATTTTTTCTGTGTGAATATATATATATATATAGAATTTATGTATGTCTTGATTTCGTTTTCTTCTATATACAATTTCCCAAAATTTCTATATATGTATGTATATGTATAAATATGCATAGAATTTTTTAGAATTTTTCTATATATCTATTTATGTTCGTGTGTATATATAAATGTGTTTGTATATAAGAGGTACGTGGTGCAGAGGAGAGGGAATAATGGTGAGGGGAGAGGAAGTTGGTGTGGTACAGTGGATTAAGGAAAAGAAAGAGAAACAGTAGAAAGAGAATGAGGACGAAAAATGGCATGCTTTTCTAAATTTAAAGATGTGCAAAGAGTATAAAGCTTACTCTCTTCATGGGCATGTGAATCTCACAATTAGTTAATTTGGATGGAAAAGTAGACGATGCACTTTGGTTTACAAACCACATAGGGAATATGTGGTCATTTCCAAGTGTTGGGAATAAACTGCACATGACCCAAACCTCAGGAGGTAAAGTGAAATTTGCCCTAAGATATAAAACACCTAAACACAATCCATGTAAAGTAAAATTGCAAACAAAAAGTTTGCCCAAATAAATGGAGCACAAGTATGAAGCCATAACAGAAGTTATAGCAAGGGTCGTAGATGTCGCTATACGTCACATACAATGAAACTCAAAAGCACAAATGTAAGTTGGAAAATCGGGTCATAATTTGAAATAATGACCTTGATAAAAAAAAATGTTTTGATCAACAAGAGACCTTACTCACTAAGCATCGACCTCGGATTGCTTTTTAGCCTTCTTCTAACGTCATTTTTTTGCAGAACTTGAACCAACACCCAGGGATTGTCCGAGGGCTGAAGGCACAAAAACAATTGGAGTTGCAATTGTAAGAGACTTAGATGACGGTTTGAATTCATGGAAAGGCTGTTGAATTGTTGGCACATAAGGCTGGTGCATTACTGTAATGTAAGGTTGGGGAGAATTATTGAGTTAGCCTGACCAAGGGTTTGGAATTGCAGTGCTTGGCATGTTATTGGTACACCCAATAACTTTAATTTATTTCATCTTGTTCATAGGAAAGGCTAAACTAGTTTCTCATGTGCTCATTGCCAAAGGATTAACGCCACTCTGAGTCGAGTCAATTTTATACAATGCAACATCAAGCTTGATTTTAGACTTAATGATCTCAGTGATGACAGCTCCCGAGTGGAAATTACTTGCACAATAGTGTCAACAAGTCAATTGCACAACTTAGATTATACCATGTATATTGAAAGAGAATATGTTGGCCTATCTCTAAGGAAGTGACATACAATCTAGTATTGCCCTAAAAAACTTAAGTTCAGCTATGCAACCAGTCTCACTACCTCCTTATAGAGTTTTATTTTTAGAGTTAGTGGTGTTAGTGTTTTTGGTGTCTAGGATTTGGGGCTTAAAGTGAATTATATTACTCATGATGTTCATGATATCACTTATTTTATTCTCCATTTTAGAACTGTATCTATTATGAATTCATTATAATACTAACTTTGCTCAATTAAAATTAATTAATTATGCTAATGAAGTAATTAGGAGGAACGACTAACTATACAACTCCTCTGACTTGCATAGATATCTCGTGAAATCCAAATAAAATAAAATAAAAAAATTAATGTAGATTTAGTTTCAAAGAAGAGAAAAAAAAAAGAAGAAAATAGATTAGAAGAATAGGGAGAGGAAAAAAAAAACCGGGTGTAAGGGGGAGCTATAACACCAAAGACAAGCACTTAAGATATTGGGCAATCTTCATTTTACCTTACTGTGATTTGGGTTATACGCGGTTTACTTTCCTAACGTTTAAAAATAGTCATATAATCCCCACGTGGTTTATGGATTAGAACGCACATTCTTCCTCTTCTGTCTTTTGAATTAAACTTGGAAATATATATATATATATAGAATTTTTGCAAGAAACCCAAGCGGCATACACAACTTCGCACTTATCCATTCTCACCATTCATCAACAGTAAGTGCATATATATATATATATATATATGTCTATAAAATCTATAAATGCATAATTAGTAAATATACATGTTAGTAATCGATGTTAGCATGCACTTGCACTATACTATTGAACTGCTGCTAGCATCAAATTTGAATTTGTTTGAAAATTTGATGGTTAATCTAAGATCTTTGATTTGCTTCATTATATATATTTTATCAATTTCAAGCATTTCACAAAATATTCAATTGTAAGTTTTTTTTAGTATGCATATATATATAGTTATATAGAATTTTTCATGTTTTTTATTTTTTGCTGTGTCAATATATATATATATATATATATGTGTGTGTGTATGCATATAGAATTTCTGTATGTGTTGATTTCGTGTTCTTCTATATAGAATTTTCCAAAATTTTTATATATGTATGTATACGTATAAATATATATAGAATTTTTTAGAATTTTCTATATATCCATTTATGTTCATGTGTGTATATATAAATGTGGTTGTATATAGGAGGTACGTGGTGGTGAGAAGAGGGAATAATGGTGAGGGGAGAGGAAGTTGGTGTGGTACAGTGGGTTAAGGAATAGAAAAAGAAATAGTAAACAAAGAATGAGAATGAAAAATGGCATGCTTTTGTCAATTTAAAGATGTGCAAGGGGTGTAAGGCTTACTCTCTTCATGGGTATGTGAATCTCCCAATTAGTTAATTTCGATGGAAAAGTAGATGGTGCACTTTGGTATACAAACCACATAGGGATTATGTGGTCATTTCTAAATGTTGGGAGTAAACTGCACATGACCCAAACCACAATTGGTAGAGTGA